CTCATCCTCTGTTCTTGCAAACTCATCCCAGGGCTCATCTCAGCAAATATAGAAAAAGCTTTGTCCCCAACATCTGTATATACATTTTCATGTGCTTAGTTTGAGTAACCTGCTCTTCCCTAGATCAGTCACTGGCCTAAACGTGCTGGACAGCCCACCCCCTGACCACAAGTATACGTCACAGAATTTGAGCCAAATTGCATATGGAAGGTGGTGAAGATGATGTGGTCAGAGATGGAGAATTGTTTTGAGACAGAGACAAGTACTTATACTACTAGTCATATTACTGTTTCTTTGTAACTTCTTAATTACAAAATTGTTTTTCCTTATTTGCTGCAGATCGAGTTTTGGTTCGAATTAGGGACTTGACAGAACAAAAAGCTGATGAAGTCGTGTGGGTGCGTGCAAGGGTTCATACAAGCAGAGCTAAAGGTAAGAGGAAGATTTAATCTTTGTTTTACCTTTGTAGAGGTATTTAGTGAATTCCTTGTTTGAAGATTCATCATAAACCAAGTAAATAATGAGATTTAAAAAAAAATAGCTTTCCTTATTAGTTCATGATTAGTCAATTTTGGATTCTTGCAAAGCATTCTTAAAAATAATGGAGGATCCTATACTGCATAAGGGTTTAATCTCCAAAATACATACAGAATGCCTATACTTTAGAAACAAAAAGAGACACAATTCAATCTAAAATTGCACAAGGACTCGGGAGACACCAAGGACATTGACATAGTTTACAAAGACAATGTTCTCCATCTGCTTTCTGAGTAGCAACTAGCAGTTCTTAAAAACTTGTAAACAGGTACAACAGTTGATCTTTTCCCATCTAAGGAAAGGAAAGTAATGAGAAGTGAAAGACACAGAGACAATGAGTCCGGTGGACTAGTGGACCATGGTACCGGACTCCTACTGTCACCTGTTCTGAAAAGGATCATTAGGTCCTTGGAAGGTCCTGAATAGAGTGGGAGAAACAATGTGGACCCAAACCTCAGATCACCAAAGAGACCAAGCTTACTGGTCAAATAAAGTGGTGGGACCTCCAAGACTCTGCCTCTTAGTCACCCTTCATGGCTGGAACTGAACCTACCCCGTGTTAGAATAATCAACCGTTTTAGACCAAACGGGCAGTACTTAACCCAAGAACAAAATGTCCAAGGTCAGGACAGAAGGAGGAATGGAGATGGGAAGCACAGGGAGGAAGAGTGGGATAAGTGATGGAACATCAAGGGGGTTGCAATGGATGCTTGGAAACAAAATGTTTACAAACTGTTTACTGTAAAACTGATGATCTGCTCTGTTAACCTCCATCTAATTCACAATAAAATGTTTGGTTTGTTTTTTTTAATAGACATTTCATCAGGGAAGATAAACAAATGACCAACAAATACATGAAAAGATGATAATGTCATTACATTGCCTCAATGAGATAGGATTTCACTCCCACTAGGATGGCTCTGCTAAGAAAAACAGAAAGTAGCAAGGGTTGGCAATAATGTGGAGAAATTGGAATCCTTGTCTATTGCTGGTTGAATTGCAAATTGACGCAGCAGTTGTTTGGGGATTCCTTAGAAAGTTAAGCATAGAATGGCCTGGACTCCA